CAGCCTACTGTAAGAGAGGATAAATGTTGCGTACATTAAGTAAACCGATTTTTCAATGAGAAAATGGTATGCTGAAGATTGTGTCGCAGCACGCACGATTCATTCCTTCCATTGGCCATCATCACACCTGGGCATACTTGAAATGTGTCACTAATCAATGTTAGGCTAAGAGCAATCGAAATAAGCAAAAGTATTTTGTTATCTTTATGGCAGTATGCCCACAATCAATAATCTTAGTGTCCGCATTGACTGGTTGATGAAGAGCCGCGCAACGTGTCCCTTTACCACACTCACTCGAGTCCTTGCCAACAGCACTGACGCCACCATCACTTCCACCCACAGCAGCCATTCACCCTTAACATCAGCATCTTCTACATCTCTGAACAACGGACTAGGGATTACAGCCCACAGACTAAACCACCATTCAGCCAGTGACCCGTACTCTTTGTCACTCCCCGCCAAGGCGGACAAAGCTCCAACTAAATGCAAGTCTGTCAGGTAAGATTTTTCCTAATTACCGTATTTTCTAAAGAATGCACATCGCATGCTTTGATGTGTCCTACTTCGGAGTAAAGGCAGCGCAAAAATCCCCAAAGGTTTGACAGCCCTACATCAATTTTATTTCACCAATCACCTTCGTTTCTTCATACCACGCACTAAGTGATCCCTTCCTACAACTTCGTTTGTCATACCATTCCATCAATCCCATCTCTTATGATCCGTTAGGAAAAAATCATACCACAAAGGAAAAACATGAATGGTGTGAAAGTGAACATGAAGGGGGTGAAGGCGTTGAGCCATAAGCGTGACCAAAAGCAAATGTTTTATTTTCATCTTACAGAGGGGACGGATTACCAGTTTAACCCATTAAAATGGGGCCAAATAATAGAGACAAAGGAGAAGAGAGGCCGCTGCATAGATTTGTACATAGACAAGCCCACAGACTGATCAGTGATGGCAGCATGAGTGTTTACTTGTGTCAGCCTCAAAACACACTCCGTGGTTG